AATCACGAATCGAGGCCAACTGGTGCGAGTCCATTCCCTGAAGTGAATGCGACTCAGTGTTTAAATAATATGCCTAGATTCTACCGCGGACGAGGTCGCAGACAACGCAGTGGACGTGGATTTAGTCGTGGACGTGGATTTGGTCGTGGATGTGGAATGAGTCGTGGACGTGGAGCCGACCGTGGACGAGGTCGTGGCAGGTTTGTTTCACATTATTACCGTCAGGGATATTTTGATGAGCAGGAATCAAATAGGCCTATGAAGCGGCTTCAGAATGATGTTGGTCAGAGTTCAAAGAAAAGCGAGGACAAATGTTATCGCTGCGGAATGACAGGACATTGGTTCAGAAATTGTCGTTCCAATTCTTATTTCGTTGAGCTGTACCAAAATTTCCTGAAACAGAAAGATAAAGTACCCGAAGAAGTTAAAGCACTGGAAAATGTCAATCTCCCAGAAATTAATTTTTCAGAGAATGTTGCCAGTGGAAGTGGGGGTGATAAATGTAATGATAATACGCAGCTAGATGTATCTGATTTTCTAGTACACCCTGAAGGTGGGTACTATGAAAATCCTGGAAATGCGATATAAAATGCAGATAGATATATGTATATATTTTTGTAACACATGTAGTTTTTGCTCCTTACATTTTGTAATGATATGACAACTATGTATTTTCTCCATATTTTTGATATATTTATTTTTATATTTCTCCCAGAAGAAGAAATATGAATGTTGAGCACGTTATAATGAATAATATGGAAGACAGTTTATGTCTCATTGATAGTGCATCAACGCACACCATATTGAAATATAAGAAATATTTCACCAACCTAAAGTTGAAAAAAAATTGAGGTGAATACCATAAGTGGTTGTGCGAAGTTAATTGAGGGCTCTGGAAGAGCGATAATTTTTCTCCCCGAAGGAATAAAACTTGATATCCAAAATGCACTATATTATAGTAAATCTCAAAGAAATTTGTTGAGTTTTAATGATATTCGCATAAATGGATATCATATTAAGACATCAAGTGAGACAAATAATGAATTTTTGTTAATTACAAAATTCATTGATGGACATAAATATATATTAGAAAAATTGCCTTCATTGTCTTCCGGATTATATTGCACAAAGATTAATGTGGTTGAGACATATCTGGTAGACAAGAAGTCTATAGATTTTATGATTTAACATGACCGGTTTGGGCATCCTGGTAATACTATAATGAGATGAATTATTGGAAATTCCAATGGTGATAACTTGAAAGATCAAAGGGTATTAAAAACAAATGAGTTTATATGTGTTGCTTACTCAAAAGGAAAGTTAATAACTAGACCATCACCGGCAAAAGTGGGAACTGAATCCCCTTCATTTTTAGAACGAATTCAGGGTGATATATGTGGACATGTAGATCCACCATGCGGACCATTTCGATATTTTATGGTACTTATTGATGTATCTACTAGATGGTCGCATGTGTGTTTATTATCTACCCGCAATTTGGCATTTGCGAGGTTGCTTGCTCAAATAATTAGATTACGAGCTCAGTTTCTAGATCACCCAATAAAGAAAATTCGTCTTGATAATGCTGGTGAATTTTCATCTAAGACTTTTGATGATTATTGCATGTCTATTGGAATTGACATTGAACATCATGTACCTCATGTACATACTCAAAATGGTCTAGCTGAATCACTTATAAAAATACTGCAATTAATTGCAAGACCTATGCTAATGAAATCCAAACTTCCCGTATCTGCTTGGGGATATGCAATTATGCATGCAGCAACACTGATAAAATTAAGACCGATCAGCTATCATAGCTACTCCCCAATACAATTAGTGTACAATGAAAAGTCTAATATTTCACATTTGAGAACTTTTGGGTGCGCGGTTTATGTGCCAATTGCACCACCCCAACGTACAAAAATGGGCCCCCAACGGAGATTGGGGATATATGTCGGGTACGAATCACCATCTATCATTAAATATCTTGAACCATTAATTGGTGATTCGTTTACAGCTCGTTTTGCTGATTGTCATTTTGACGAGTCGCATTTCCCGATATTAGGGGGAGAAACTGATCAACTGAAAAAGGAAATTACTTAGAAAATACCATTCAGTTTTCTTGATCCTCGTACAAGTCAAAGTGAATTAGAGGTATAAAGAATTTTACATTTGCAGCGAATAACAAATCAGTTGCCTGATGCTTTTTGTGACGCCAGCAAGGTCACTAGATCTTATATAGCTGCTGAAAACGTATCTGCTAAAATTGTTATTCCTGGAGACAAAATACAAAGTGCTAATGAATCAAATGTACGCCTAAAGTGTGGCAGACCTGTAGGTTCCAAGGATAAAAATTCTCGAAAGAAAAGAGGAACAAATGAAATTATTGAAGATTTGAATGTTAATCAAAACCCTCAAGAAACATGTAATAACATGGATCAGATTTCTAGAGAAATTGATCTTGATAAACTTAATGAGGATGTTAATCCTAATAGAATTTCTTCTGAAGAGAATGGAATTATTGAAAATTCAATAAATTATGTTACTACTGGAAAACATTGGAACCGAAGTGATACAATTATGGATAATGCTTTTGCATATAATGTAGCACTTAATCTAATGGAAAATGACGAGGATCCAGAACCTAGATCAGTTGATGAACGTCGGAAAAGAATAGATTGGTCAAAATGGAAAGATGCGATCCAGTTTGAATTAAATTCACTGGCAAAACGAAAAGTTTTTGGACCCATTGTTCAAACACCTGAAGGTGTTAAGCCTGTTGGCTATAAATGGGTATTTATTCGAAAGCGAAATGAGAATAATGAAATTGCCAGATATAAAGCAAGACTTGTTGCTCAAAGTTTTTCACAAAGACCTGAATTGATTTTAATGAAACATATTCTCCAGTAATTGATGGAATAATATTTCGATATCTTGTCAGTTTGGCAGTACATGACAATTTGGATATGCGTCTGATGGACGTTGTAACTGTATATTTATATGGCTCGTTGGATAGTGATATTTATATGAAAATCCCTGAAGGATTTAGTATGCCTGATGCATATAAATCAAAGCCAAAAGAATGTTATTCTATTAAATTACAAAAGTCTTTGTATGGGCTCAAACAATCTGGTCGCATGTGGTATAGTTGTCTCAGTGAATCATTATTGAAAGAGGGATATGCCAATGATTCCATTTGTCCGTGTATTTTTATAAAGAAAAATGGGAGAAATTTTGTAATAATAGCTGTCTATGTGGATGACTTGAATTTAATTGGAACCCCTGAAGAGATCCAAGAAGCTATTGAATATTTGAAAAGGGAGTTTGAAATTAAAGATTTCGGGAAAACAAAATTTTGTCTTGGTCTACAAATTGAACATTTGGAAAATGGGATTTTGATACATCAATTTACATGTACCCAGAAGGTATTGAAACGATTTGCAATGGATAAAGCACATTCATTAAGTACTCCAATAGTCGTTAGAACTCTCGATCCTATTAAAGATTCTTTTAGACCAAAAGAAGAGAATGAGGAAGCACTTGGTCCTTAAGTACTATATTTAAGTGCTATTGGTGCACTAATGTATCTGGCTAACAGTACTAGACCAGATATAGCGTTTGCTGTAAATTTATTAGCCAGATTTAATGCAATGCCAACACAACGACATTGGAAAGGAATCAAACATATTTTTCGTTATCTATAAGGATCTATTGATCTTGGTCTATTATATCCAAAAGGATCTCGACATGAATTGATTGGATATGCAGATGCTGGGTATCTTTCTGATCCGCATAAAGCTAAATCTCAAACTAGCTATATGTTTACTTGTGGCGGTACAGTGGTATCTTGGAGATCCACTAAACAAACATTAACCGCCACATCTTCAAATCATGCAGAAATAATAGCAATTCATGAAGCCAGTAGAGAGTGTGTTTGGCTAAGATCAATTATTCACCACATTTTACAGAATTGTGGTTTGAAATATAAAAATGATAATCCTCATACTATTTTGTACGAAGATAATGCAGCTTGTATAGTGCAACTGAAAGAATGATATATCAAGGGAGATAGAACGAAATATATTTCACCAAAATTTTTCTTTACTCATGATCTCCAGAAAAATTGTGAGATAAATGTGCAGCAGATTCGATCAGACCAAAATTTAGCAGATCTGTTGACCAAGGCTTTACCGACCGCAACGTTCGAGAAATTAGTAAAGATCATCGGGATGAGTCGGTTGCAATATTTCAAATGATGTCCACATCAGGGGGAGTAATATTTCAAGTGATGTCCACATCAATTGAAGTATTTTTAATGCATGAATGATGTACTCTTTTTCCTTGACTAGGATTTTTGTCGTGTTGGGTTTTTTCCTAGTAAGGTTCTAACGAGGCGTATTCATTACAGTTAATGACACTTAAAGGGGAGTGTTATGACTTATTAGTTATTAAGATAGGTGTCATTATTTTGTATAAACACATCATATATATATATATAATGATAGGTGTCGTTTAATTGCATTGATGAATCACCCAATTTGATGACTAATAGTGTCTTTGTAAATGGTCTATAAATAGACCTAAATCTTGTGTACTAATAATAGATATAATTTATAAAAATTTTATTTCCACTTTGTCTCTCTCTCGGCTCTTTCCATTCTCTCTCTCTGAATTATATACAAACACTCATACATACATACATATATATACATATATTATATATTATTACTATAGTTATATTTGATATATTTCATAACAATATATATAATTTCTAAATTATAGATATAAATGAAGAAATTTATGTTTTATTAACATTTAGTCAAAATGACTATTTTACCAATGCAAACAATCTTAACCGTTTATCATAAATTTAATCTAATGGCTAGAATATATTCGGCTCGGTGCCGAAACTATTATTCATCACCGTACCCGAACCCCGAACCGATAAACACTAATATAGATGGCGAGGTGAGTTTTCTATTATACCCCTCATCTTCCCCATATAACGTTTCTACTCACTCTAAAGAAACCCTAATCACTACTCCCTCCTCTTCCGCCGCCTCCAACTCCGCCTTCCTCTCTATTGCACTGCATTGAAGCGTGATCTTGGAAATGAAGGAGTCTGGAAACGATGGGTTCGTCGGTTCCGAAGGCAAACTCCCGGCCGTGTCGCCGCCTTCCCCCGTCGAACCGTAAGTCTTTAATTTGGTTTTTTTTTTTTTTTTTTTTTTTTTTTCGATTTAGATATTTTCATATTGTAAGCGATGATGATCCTACTGTCCAGTTATAGCATTCTTTATGAACTCATCAAATTGAGACGATTCGCACTCCTGATTATGGTTTCTACGGTTAAATAATATCTGCATATCTTCTTTCTTAGTTTATGAGTTTTAAGGTCATTGGGGATTAATTAATAGAAGGTTATTGATTTTTTTTTTTCCTAACAATTACATGTTTGGTTTTGATTATGTGATAAATTTGAGATGTTGGTGAAGGAATTTTGATTCTCTTGATTGCTGTGACGATCTTTGTATTTTGTCATATGGATTTGTATTTTGGGGGAAATGAAGGTCCGTGCCGGTGGCTGCGCCGAAAGTGACAACAGCAGATTCCTTAATTTATCTGAGGACTGTGAAGGAAAATTTTCGTGACAGGAAGGATAAGTATGATGAATTTCTTGATGTCATAAAAGCTTTCAAGGGTCGAAGGTAGAAGAAGTTTGTTCTTAACTTTTGCCTTTTCATTTACAAACTACTCACTCGCAGACTCAGATATTTGTTGTGGTTATTTGCAGAATTGATATTGACGGCGTCATAGCCAAAGTTAAGGAGCTATTCGAAGGTAATTGGGGCCTAATTTTGGGGTTCAATGCCTTTTTGCCAGAAGGATATGAAATCACACTCCCTGAGGATGAATCTCTGGAGGAGCCACTAGAATTCGACGAAGCTATCAATTTCGTTAGCAAAATCAAGGTACGTCAGCAAAGCCTTTCATTGCTACATTCCTGTATTCATATCTTAAACTTCTCCAGAATTGAGTAAAAAGCTTTAAATTTTTAATTGCAGGCTACATTTCAAGGTCAGGATCATGTTTACATATCATTCCTTAAACTCTTGAATATGTACAGAAGCGGTCGTAAATCCATAACGGAAGTTCATCAGGAGGTATGCTATGATCACACTTCCTGGATGTTTTTTTATCAGAAGGAATATTATTTGAAAGTTAATGAGTTTGTGATGCTCGTTTGTAGGTTGAAGTTCTTTTCCGTGGACACCATGACCTACTTGTTGAGTTCACTCATTTCTTGCCTGATCCTTCGGACACAAAGTATGAGTATCTACCCAGAAACACTACTCGCCGTTGGAATGATTGAAGCTCTCCCGTACCTCAAGCAAGGCCGATGCATGTTGAAAAGGGAAGTTTCAAGCTTAAAAAGGGATGCCATTGAACGCAATTTGAGGAGTTTCTTGATTTCAAGTTTGTCTTTCCAAATTGTGAGAACCACATTTTTGTTTATTTATTTTTGACAAAAGAAATAAATCCCTTATTGAACGATGAATAAATATCTTATTCAGGCGGAAATAATGGCTTACTACTACCAAATTAAACAAGATTTATTACACACGGATCATGATTTTCTACTTTCTTGTCCAATCCCCGGCTTGCTACCAAAAGCTACCAGTGAGCTATTAAACCACCTTATGATGATTTTTATTAAATTATTATAGGGTGTGTTTTTTGGGGGGTTGGATTTTGAGTTGGAATTTGATAAATAAAAATTTTGAATTGGAATAGTTGTATGATGTGATATAAGTAAGTGTTAATACGATGTTTTGAATGTAAAATTGATTTTTAGTATAATATAAAAATTAAAAAATAAGTATTTGATTGGATATTTTTAGGGGGATAAATTTTAGTGAATAGTAGAAATCTGGCGAAATTTTACAGAGCATACCCATAGTATATTTTAACAATCTCAATTAATTTTCATGAAGTATAGGACAAAAATAAATGTATGATATGTTGTTTGGGAAGAACACAAAGCTATAAGGAAGAGAATGGGATCATATGGATTGGGAAGTCTACAGTAAAATGGAATTCACTTCTCATGTATATCTAATAAGTAATTGTAGCAATTTTATTTCAGATTCTCAATTTATGTTTATAAATGGAAAAATTGAGCATGTATTTTTTTTATGCATAAATGAATGAATGTCGTAATTCAATCAAATCAAATTAATTGCAGGTCATAGACGAGGATCTGCGGTGTTGGAATTTAGTCAAGTTTGTGCACCTTAACGCTATCAAAAATGTAAGTTCAAAGTTAAATAATTAATTAATTACTGCCTTCATCTTTACCATATTTATTATTTTTACCATTATTTAAATAAATATATCGTAATTCTATATATATATGCAGAATATGTGATTCTTGAAGGATAGCAAGTGCTCCCTTTAATATTAGCAACTCATTTGGAACATGTTATAAGGCTTGCAATTAGAACAGAGCTTGAAATATTCTTAACTACACCTTAGGCGAAAGTAGAGTAATAAATTTTACTATTGGACACCTAATCGGGGATTTTCTTGTTACTAAATTGATGTTTGCAATTGTGTTTGTTTTAGAATTTCAGAGACCGGATGATATGCTGATTGGCCCTGACTTGGCAAGAAACATAAAGCTTTGCGATATAATAAACATGGATCCAGGATAACTTTTTTTTTTCTATTGGGATTCCTACAATGATATATCATTTCGATTGAATGTTTTTCTATATTTTATAATTGCATCATAATTCATGAGATGAATTCGAATACAGGCCTGCCTTGAAGTTGCAAGAAAATATAGGGGAATAAGAGCTCTAAAATTAAGATCCTTGCACTATTTGTAAGTTGTTGCCCTCTGCCTAATACATTTTTCCAAGCTTGTTCATTTAGCGACTGTATCTTTCTCAGGTTGTGGCGTAATATCTAATAATGTTGTGCAATTGATAGAAGTATAAATTTTAATTAATTTAACTAAACTCTTAGCATGCTTTGATCAAATATTTTCCAATGTTGTTTGCAAGATAACTCTGTTCTGCACTGAATCCATAGGCAAAAACAAATAGTATTTACTTACACTGCCACTCGGTCATAGTTATTTAAATGTGTCTTGTGTTCTCATAGAATGTCCATTTAATTTAGTGTGTTGGTACTCAATGCCTCATGCCTGTGATTTTCTGATACCCATTTTAAGCTTTTGATGTTGGTACATAAGGATGCTACTAATTAGAGGATATATAATTTGGCATTCTGAATGAGTTGTGATGTGTCATGATGATTTTGTGATTGAATTATTTAATTGGAATGTTGGCTTGAGAGTTATTTTTGTTAGTATGATTCTTGGCCTTCTTCTTATCTTTAAAATATGATTTTGTTATGCATGGCAATATATATTATTTAGTGATGATAGATATTCTGTTTTTGCCCTGATAAAGCTACAGCTTTGATGGACTGCAGGTGTTGGAATATTGTTTTTTTATTTGTTGTATAAGTTTTAAGTGTATGTAGCTTTTCTGCCAAGGGGGTTAGACTGGGATAGTGAACTATACAAATTATGATGACATGAAATGTGGTAAATAATGGCCATATGTGATAAATTGATAATCGAAATGTGGAAGATTTAGGCTTATGCAATACATTGAATACTTATTCATGATACCAATATTAATATAATTGCTCAATAATAAATTAATCTATATTTCAAATATTGTTGTCCCTAATCAACATTCAAACCATTTCCTACATAACCTCGGGTAGAGAGGCAGATCGATTGGGTGAAATTTAAGGGAAGACGTGTTAAATGACAAAAGCATTGCATTTGAACTCTCGAGTTGTGCTCTAAAGTGATGTTCGAGTGTAAAGTTTGTATGGAATGCTTGCATTACATTCGAACACTAATGTGAGAGCACATGCATTCTTTTGACATTGGATTCAGCTAAGTATATTGTATTCGAACATCATTTTATTTGTGTATGTATAATTTGAATACGGTCTATTCAAAAAAGATATCATTGAGTCGTCCCCCATAAGGGATAATCTATTGGTGTAAGGTGAACTTGTAATCGTAAAGTCATCAGTTCAAACCCTCGACACTTCCAAGTCTTACATGTCACACATGGATCGTCTCTGGTGTGCATAATTTGCAAACTACCAAGAGGTTTACTTAGGGTGTCATATTCATAAAAAAAAAAAAAAAAAAAATTCCCCAAAAATATCAAATTAAATACTTAATTTTTATTTTTTATATTATACTAAAAATCAATATTACATTCAAAATATCACATCAATATCTATTTATATAATATTATTAAACTATTTTAATTCAAAATTTTTACTATTCAAATTTTAACGCAAAATTCAAATTTCCAAACAAACACATCCTTACGCACTTAAAAAAGAGTAGTGACTGCGGGTTCCGATATTATTTAAAACAGATATCACTGAATCCTCCTCAAGATAACAAAATGAACATTAACATCCAGTGAAACTAAGCTAATGCCACAACTACAAAAATGCAACACTCCCTAAAAATTATTGAGTTAGAAGTCACCGGAAGTCCATCCACATTCATCATCCAGCAATTAGGACGTCATAATTATGCTACGAACAATTACAAAACTTGTATTTCATACATATTCACATATATAATGCACATAAAAAAAGTTCTCAAGTGAAATAACCATAATACGAGATGTTTAATAAGATGAAAGCTGTTGCAGCTTCTCAATCTACTCAAGATTTCGATTAATGAATATTGACTAGAAGAGCTCGTATTTTCTATTAACAAAATGCATACGTTATCTATGATATATCCCTAGTTATGTCCTTGGAACTAGTAACCGATAGATCCATTGGAAATGGGCTTATGATCCTCAACTTAAAGCAGTAATCAAGAGCAATTCCTGCAAATAGAAATACCAAAAGATTTTCTGAAATACTAACCGCACCGTCTAAAGCAATCGAGAAAATGCTGTTTGCATCCATCTCCACTGGAAGCCCAGCTCCAAGCATACCCAATCCTACATTTGTAACATTGAGCACGTAAGGTTTTCAGAGCATAGGGATTTAGTAGCATATTTATTTAAGAACACACATCTAACAAGGCTAATGTATGTTCAATCCTAAAAGTTAAAATGCGCCGTTGTTTATATTTGCATTCCCTATCAAGTGCAAGTAAGGGTATGTAGCAATTTAGTCAAGTGTTTTCAAAGGAAGATAAAGATACACTGTTTTTTTAGGAAATTCAATTTACTAAAGATATCCAAATGACATAATGAGATACAGAGGTACGGTGAGCAGTATTTATCAACACCTTTCACAAAGCCAAAAGCTGCGGATGTCCCGGATTTTAGCTGAAAATTATCCAAATCTCGCCTGATTGCATAGCGAAAAGTTACTCCAAACATCACGCAGCTGATGAAGGTTATTGCCAGAGTAGATATCATCTGGGAATCGCTAGCAGCGCGAGATAATGCAATAGGACATTCTGCCAGGGTGCCGAAGACAGCAGAAACAAAAGCAGCTTTCAGAGATTCCACTCTCTCCAAATCTTGATTTATCTTTGTACTTTGAATCTCATCTGAGGCATCAGTGCCTCTGTTTGTCAGTGATTGCTCGGCTTCCTCTATCATACCTCTTGCTTCAAGTATTTCTTTCTGGCATTCTGCAATCTTTAATAGCTAAATTTGATCAGCACCAAGAAATAATAAACAAGACTTCGTAATAGTTCAATGTAGAAACTTGAAATTCTTGACAATCAACAAACTTCCGTTAAAGTTGTTAAAATATACTGTCATATCATACAATGCTACATGAAGAATACCTTTCAAATAACTGATCTTAAATGTTTTTAGATAGACATATGTGGTTGTCATATCAATACAGACAACTCCTGAAACAAAGCCAAGGCATTTGCATTTCAAATGCTATTTGCACCGGGAATTTCATATGTATGATAGGTATGATTTATTTTCCCTCCTATGTACTCCATTTATGCTTACATTCATCCTAATTGAAGAAATTGATTCTTTATTATGACATATGTTAGAAACACACACCATACAGAATGCCGTTGGCACTATACAATATGTTTGAAACGTCCATATGCTATCTTAAACTAAATCTTTGATAGTGAAGAACCAATCAAAGATATAATGAACATAACAGCATTGCACTTTTCGATTTTGATTTTCATTTTTAGTCCATTACACAATGTTGGTACTGCAGTTTAAATTGTTGCAATAATAGTAGTTTTTCTATCCCTCATTAAATTTGGAGCTGTACATGTTTATGAGTTTGCTTATGTGTATTCCGTAGTTGTCAATCTTGCATAGCGTCAAATAGCGATCAATCTCTAAAATGCTATAGTGAGACAGCAAATAGCTGGATGACCACTATTTAAAAACTTAAAGTATACTTATAAAAATTATTATATGTAAAAATTGATAATAAGAATTCATAACAAAAACCTATAAATTAATAACTGCATAATTATCAGTCAAACCAAATAAAATGTCAAAATATATATGATTCCCAATTTTTTTTTCTCCGACACGATTACCAATATATATATTTTATTTTTTCACAAAAGTCAATATTCAACATAAAATATTAATTTTTATATTAACGACACAATTTTCTAAACTTCACATTAAAAAAACTTCTTCAAATCAAAACACTAAACAAACAAACCTATAGTATAGTTATATGAGCAAAAATAATTAAATCTCTACTACTAAGATAGATAATCAAGGTTAGTTAGATTCAAAATTTGATAAATAATTTTCTTCTCGCTTTCACCGTTTTCCCTGCTAATCTTGCACACACACACACATATATATATATATATAGTCATTTCTTCATCTTCATTTACTTGTTCCATTGTATGTTCATCATCTTAGACAATGTTTCTTCCCTTTCTATAGTCTGAAGTAGCTATAAGTTTCTTCCTCATTGATGTTCGCTTTAGCGTAGATAGGGGGCTCTTGTATAAATATTATATTATATGATCTAAACCAAATACATACAATTTCTTTTATAACTAAGTGTTTGTAGATTGATTATCACTAAAATATAATACAAATATATAGTCTTACATGTAAGAACAAACATAGAGCTTATAGCGCTCCACAATGCACCAACTCTAAATGGTGCTATAGCTGCTATTGCGTAAAAACGGATTCACAAAGCGCCGGTATCCGCTCTATAACTACAACACCGCTTTAGCGCACTATTTACAACTAAGGTGTATTGAAAGAAACAAAATAAAGGATAAGAAAAATCAAAAGATATCAATTGTTTGCCCATGAACAATCAAACGGTACCAACTGTTTACCCAAAGCCTGACGGCTAATTTATTTCCATAATTTCAAAATGATAGTCTCCAACCCCCGTTACTCCTTAAATACTATTACCTAAACCATACTTACTAAAAATAAAATAAGTCCATTCAATAACTAAAGGTCAAGCCCAATTCACAATATAATATATTAATAGAAAAACAAGTAAATAAAATCTAAACCCGCAGACAATACGCCTAAACCCATCCCCGTCGTCAATACACAAGTATCGGCCGAGACCCCACTTCCTCTTTAATCTTAACTTCACACACTTTTCAATGTTGCTTTCTATCAATTTCATCATTCTTCGAATCGACCTTGTAGCCAAGGTTGAAGTATGAGAACTGGAATGATTTTGATCTTCCTCTTGTTTTTTCTTCCCTTACAGGCTTGATCTAACGTCTTTTGGGTTAGATTTTGGTCACGTGTCAGCACTATTTAACCGCCCTTCCACTCAAAGAACAAGAGCTTCCCAATCTGTTTGAGCATTGCCCAACGTGGCTAGCCAAGCTATACTGAAAATAATATCAACACCCTCAAAAGGAAATACAAAACAATTGGTTTTTACCTCACAACCTTGTAATGAGACCGTAACATCCCGGCATAATCCTTCGGATTCCCATCTTCGTCCATCTCCTAACTGAACTACAAATTTATCTGTACGATCAGGTGGTAATCGTAAAGTGGATACTAAGAAATATATAAGATTGTGACTAGCGCCACAATCGATTAATATTGTTACCTTCCTTCCTTGCACAACTCCATGCAACCACACAGTTCGTTGGCTCGGAAAGCCCTCTACAAGATAAAAACTAAGGTCCCCTCTTCTATCGATGCATCTGTTTGCTCTCCCATCCAATCTTCTTGCCCCGTAGGTACATAATAATCAAAATGTTGAAGATCTAAGACCTCTTCATCTTCTTCAGCTATCATGACTCGCAATTGTTTGAAGCTATCATGACTCGCAATTGTTTGAAAAGACATTCATATTTTGGGGTGTATGGTTTTTTGTAGCGAAAACATGGTCCTTTGGCTCGCAATTCAACAATTTATTGGGATGAGAGACGAGTAAATCGATTCCGGATTGTTAACTAACTAGTTGCCTCAAATCAAGCCACAGAAGGATAATCGGAAACTTTGCTAATAGGTCCGTTGTAGTTGACCCCTGAAACCTTAATCATGTTGCTTGGTCCGGACATAGAGCTTACGTGCAGTGTCGGGCTGCTCAAATTTTGATATGGGTGTCTGTCAACTTGCACCTAAAGATTATCCTCAATGCCTCTAGATAACTCCATGGCCTTCTCTAAGTCTTTGGGCCGAAGAAAGCAGAGGGAACTTCGAATCGAGTCCTTTAGACCTTTTATAAATTACCCCAGATAGTGCGCATCCGTCAAACCCGGAACTTGGCTAGCTAATTGAACAAATAAAGTTACGTAGTCGTTCACCGATCTCACATATTTAATGTCTGTCAATCGTTCAAAATGACTCCCTTTAAAACGCGTAACAAATCTCGCCACCAGCATTTGCGAAAATTCTTCCCATGTCAGCCCCAGTTTGCGACTACATAACCAGGTTGACTAATAGAATGCAACTTCTTCCATGACCAGCACCTTCATCTCCAGACTAGTGTTCTGAATTTTAGACTGTTAATTGGCGCGGGCCAACCAACCTATCGGATTTGAACCATTAAAGGATGAGAGTTGCACAGGCCAGTCTACGATCGGAAGTCAATCGCCGGCCGCAGTGGCACAGCAGTCGGGGGCTGCAGTGTTGGTTGTAGTGGCGCGGGTGCCGAGGGCGGCGGTGTGCCACCCTCTGCCATCGCGCTATTCTTCACATAGTGGCATGTCGCCGATTGTTGCGATCCAGAGGATTTTAAAATCACTTTCGATAATTCAGTAAGAGTCACCATGATCCCTGCTAGTTGGATGTTTTCGACTTCATGTTCTCCTTCATCTCAGCCTAGTCAACTTCAAGTTTGTCCGGTCACTCTGTTGTTGATCGTGTTGTTGCCATGACAGGATCGGGATCCGACAAGTCGGACCAATTGATAGAAACGAAATAAAAGATAAGAAAAATCAAACGATATCAATCGTTTTCCCAAAGCCTGACGGCTACTTTATTTCCAAAGTTTCAAAATGATAGTCTCCCGCCTTAATTACTCTTTAAATACTATTACCTAGACCTTATTAAGATAAAATAAGTCCTCACCCAATAACTAAAGGGCAAGCCCAACTCAAAATATAATATATTAATAAAAAAATAAGTAAATAAAATCTAAACCCGTGGACAAGCCTAAGTCCTCCCCGTCGTCAATAAGCATCGGCCGAAGACCCCACTTCCTCTTTAATCTTAATTTCATACACTTTTTTTATTTTGCTTTCTATCATGTATTCAATCTACTTCTTTTCTATTTTCTCTTCAAAACCTACTTTACATTCAAAATATCATATACAATATTTATTTTCACATCAAAATTTCCGAAACCCAAAATACCAAAATAAAATCCAAACACAGATGAACACACAAAGATCCCACAAAACTGTATTTGTGTTTTAAAATTTATATTCCCACTGCAATCTAAATTGACATATTTTTTCCCACCCATTACATCAGAACATATTTCCATTCAAAAACATAACAAATATAACCTGTTATTCATTCACATTTTTCCAAAAAAAAAAAAAAAAAAACACATTTCTAACTACACATGCTAGCTGATGCGTCTCTAACTCCCTCAAAATGATAAGACTCAAATTAGTAAGAAAAGGAATAATATTACAAGACATCCATAACAAGAAATACCGTAAATTTTCTAACCAAACACAATGAAACCAGCTGACTCTTTAATCAACTCTTCAATCATATGACAACAACTAGAATTGTTCAGTAAACACCATTATCCACAAATCCAATTCCCATAGGGTATGCTCTCACATTAGATGTAACGTAAGGCTCGATCGGTTGAGGTTATTTTAACTAAAACGATGCAGACGACATCTCTAATGCATTTGTTTCATTAGGTAAGACAGTAAACAGTTCAAACACTCTTTTACACTAAAAGTTATTTTAAATGAATCCTAATACCAAACAATGAATCCAAAGTCTAACGTATTTCATATCCAGGATCATCCAAATTCATTCATTAAAAAACCAAACTGTAAAAAAAAATCGTGAAGACTTTTATAACCAGAAGTGTAGTAAAAGAACGCTATCAGAATTAATTCATACACTACTTCCTCAGCTATGAAAATCACAATCCACATAATTTTCCCCAATCACAAAATCGAAAATAATTTCCAAGGATAATGAATTAGATCGATACATTACCACAGAAGCTCTTGATTCGAGGCGACTGATATAATCCCTCATGCTCTTGGCCTCGGCTTCTTGCTTTTCAATCTCGGCGAGCTCTTGCTTGGCCGTTTCGACTCGCTGAGAGGCTTGCTCTAGCTCATCCAACAGCCCACGGTTCTCTTCTCTGTTGAGAAGCTCCTCCACTCTCTCGCCCAACATACCCGACAGAGCGTCCCTCAAACTGCCCCCGTCGCCACTCCCTGGGCCGCCGTCTTTGCTGCATTTGACGGCCACGGATTTTGTGGAGGGAGATGAATTTGGTGAATTGGGGAGCCTGATTAAACGGATAATGGGAAATCTTTGCAGTAGCAGCAGCGAGGGTGAGGGTGAGGGTATGTTCGTTGTGGTTGCCATTGCTACGGGTGGAGTGATGCGGCGCCCAATCATTTTTACTTATATTTAGCAATGGATTTAAAATTTGTAGGCTCCGATTTAGAAGCAGCTTTTGGTAGCAAGTATTCTACCTTAATAATAAAAAATTAAATATTTATCCCTCCCCCTCGGTTCATTAAAATTAATTTATGTGGGTCCTACAACGATATTAAAAATATATATATTTTATTAAAACAAATGGTAAAAGTAAAAAAATAAAAGTATTTAAAAAATCTAGTTAAAAATTTTAAGTAAATAAAAATAGAGAATATAATAAAAATAATAGTATTTGTTATAAATAACTATAAGGGTAATAGTTAAATATTTATTTGTTGATTTTGTCAAAATTAATTGTGGACAAAAAATTGTATTATTTTTAATAAATATAAAATTTGTACAAATTATATTTAATTTGGATCTAAAGTGGGTTCTAGTATGGTCTTTTGATTCTCCTTCCGGGTCGATTTGTTTTCCAATTTGATTTTCGATGGATTATTTGATCCGAAGAGATTTGGTCTTCAGTTTGATTTTTCTAGACATTTGAGAGTTTGGTCTCCGTGCAGGTGATTTGATCATCGGCTTTGGATTTGATGTCCTTTTTGGACGATATGAGGTTTTGATATTTGATTTGGCGTTGCCGCATTTTGGAGGACTTTGGTCTCCGTGTGGACGATTTGATCATCAGCTTTGGATTTGGTGTTTTCTTTGGACAATCCGAGGCTTTGATCTTTGATTTAGCTTTGTCGCCTTTTGGAGAGCTTTGGTCTCCGTCTGGACGATTTGATCATCAGCTTTGGATTTAGTGTCTTCTTTGGACGATCCGAGGCTTTGATCTTTGATTTGGCTTTGCCTTCTTTTGGAGAGCTTTGGTCTCTGTGTAGACGATTTGATCATCAGCTTTGGATTTGGTGTTTTCTTTGGACCATTCGAGGCTTTGATCTTTGATTTGGCATTGCTGTTTTTGGAGGGCTTTGGTCTCCGTGTGGCGATTTGATCATCGGCTTTGGATTTGATGTCTTCTTTAGACGATCTGGGGCTTTGATCTTTGATTTGGCTTTGCCACCTTTTGGAGAGCTTTGGTCTCCGCATGGGCGATTTGATCATCAATTTTGGATTTGATGTCTTATTTAGACGATCCGCAACTTTGATCTTTTGTTTGGTTCCGCCTTTTGGAGAGCTTCGGTCTTTAATGTAGGCGATTTGATCATCGGGTTTGGATTTGATATTTTTTTTAGACGATATGAGGCTTTGATATTTAGTTTGGTTTTGCCGCCTTTTGTAGGGCTTTGGTCTCTGTGTGGGCGATTTGATCGTCGACTTTGGATTTGATGTCTTATTTAGACGATCCGAGGCTTTGATCCTTGTTTTGTCTTTGCTCGCTTTTGGAGGATTTTGCTCTCCGTGCGGGCAATTTGATCCTCAACTTTGGATTTGATGTCTTCTTTAGACGATCAATGACTCTGATCTTTGAGGAGGTGGATTTGGTGCTCCATAACACTTTTGGCGGTGTGTCCCTTTGACTTTTGGATCGAAGAGGGCCTGGTTGATGCTTTGGTGAAGAACGCGATAAACATCTTGAAGTTTTGAGAGGAACTTTGAAGATCTTCCCTTGGCTTTGACGAATTCCTCAATAGATTTTGGAGCTTTGATCCTTAAAGAAGTGGATTTGGTGTTCCATAACACTTTTGACAGCGTGTCCTTTTGACTTTTGGATCAAAGATGGTCTGGTTGATGCTTTGGTGAAGAACACGATAAACACCTTTAAGCTTTGGAATGAACTTTGGATGTTCTTCCTTGATTTTGATGGATTCTTTAATGGCTTTTGGAGCTTTGATCCTTGAAGATGTTGATTTGGTGCTCCATAACACTTTGGTGACTTGTCCCTTTGAATTTTGGATCGAATAGGGCCTAGTTGATGCTTTGTTGAAGAATGCGATGAACATTTTGAAGCTTTGAGAGGAACTTTTGGAGACCTTCCCTTGGCTTTGACGAATTCCTCAACGGCTTTGAGAGCTTTGATCCTTCCTCCGGTTCGGGCATACGACGAAGAACGTTAACTCCATCGATTCGTCAACCAATATTGGATCATTTGTCCAAATCAGTGACTTTCGACGAAGAACGCTTCAAAGGACACGAAGAACATGAAGAACAATACAGAGAGAGGCTAGAGACTTACCCCTTTGCTTGAATCTTCGATGTAACTTCGGTGTTTCAAATGAACTGACCATGGCTCCTATTTATAAAGGAGGGGTGGCCTCAGCTTCCTTTTAGAATGATGCCACGTGGCGCATCCTGATTGGCCAATAGAAATATTTTATAATCTTTCATTTTCCATCGGATGCCGTTTTCTATTCTTGATGGATTTGATGTACATCTTCCTTTCTCGTCAAGATTTTTATATCATTGTATTTTTCGGAAGATATTAATTTATATAATTCCCTTATTGATAAGATTAATTTATTTTGCTGCCAAATTTATTATGGCTCTATTTATGCACGTAATATTTGTACGATATCTTCAATTTTAAGCAGATTTTTTTGCATTAATGGTTGATATTTATTGTACAAAAATTAACATATGTGCATAATTAAATACCATATATTTATTTTATTGAAATTTTATTTTCTTCCAAAATATATGATATTTAATTTAATTTAGGCATTTATGTTTTAATGCCTACATTAGTAATAACATAAATTTAATCGGTGAATTCAACGCAAAAATAAAGATAAATTTGATGGGCGAATAGTAATATTTAAATTATATTTAATTAGCTAAAAAAATATTTACTTTTACTCCCTACATCCCATAATAAAAGTCTATTTTTCGTCCGTTACAAAAACAAGGGTATGGTTTACTAATTTAGTAATTATACTACTCACTTAACATAATAAATATTATTACAATTTATAATATACTATTACATAAATATCATTATTTTTACACCACACAGATATTTGTGCATTTTTACTAAAAACGAATATAATACTAATATTTAAAAGTTTACGTGTAAAAAATAAATATTCCTTGTCTCGATTCAAAATATATTTTTTTACCATTTTCGTCTGAACCACTTCAAAATATTCATTTTCTATTTTTTTTTAAAAAGTAATTATACACTAATATCAAAATACTTTTATCTTTTATATAAATTATATACATACCATTATACATACAATTACTTTATACATAAAGTTAAAAAACAAAAATGTCAAAAACTTTTACACACTTCCACTAAAACCATCTCCAGCACATAACTCTATTTTTTTTTTACGACTATCACAAATTTCTCCATTTTTGCAGTCCGTGATAGAGTAATTCATTTTCAATCATACATTCTATTTTTTCCAGATTAAATAATATTCTCTCTATATTTTATTATATATATTTTATAATTTTTAAAATTTATAAATAATATTAAATATTTTATTATTTTTATATATTTAATTTGAAAAATATTATAAACTAGAGGGGAGTCGGTGCTATAGATATAAATTTTATTGAATTGTTAAAATTAATTGTTGTTATACAACAATTAAATTATTTTTAATATGAGAACCATTTTTGGAAATTAAATTATTTTACATGATCAATTTTTAGTATTCTAATATTGAAAATGGATATATTTGTATCGATTAAATATAAATATTACAAAAACGATATATATATAATAATATTAGTCTCTATTCATATTTTTATAAGCAATTTTTTAAATTATGATTTAATTGAAAATTGTGTCGATAAGAAATTTAAGATGTCTGAATAAAGTTAAATTTTATTAACTTGTCATTATCATTTTAATATAATTAAATTATAAAATAATTTTTTCATTCGGGATAATTATGCCGTATTTTTTATCCATTAAGTTATGCATAATTCATTTATTATAAAAAATTATCCACCCACAATTTTACTATCTTTATTTCTTAGTCTTCATGTTCGGATAATATAATATAAAAATCCCGATGAAAGAAGTAAAAAATAATATATAATCTACTTGCATATATTATATTAAACAATATATATTTGTATCGGCTAATTTAAATGTTATTATCAAAAATTTGATTTATCATCTTCTCATATATATATATATACATACATATATCTTTCTAATATTAAAAATAACACATTAATAATGATGAAAGTCATTTGATTTCTAATTTTTAATTTGTGGAACTCATCCTCATAAAATAAAATAAAATACAGTCTCGATCGTCGATTAGAATGATGAAAATCATTTTATTTTTAATTTTTAATTCGTGGGAGTCACTCATAATATATATTTTTTTTAAAAAAAATCAATAGTCAATCTATGCCAACACACTTTCTTAAGTCTAAATATATATATATATATATTAGACAGATGTTATATTAATAAATTAAATTAATTTTTACTATTTAATCATAAAAATAAAATATATTTTTAAAATTAAATAAATTAAAATTTTAATATTATTAAGTAATATTTAATAATATATAAGTAAAAATATATAATATTATTTGATTAAATACAATATAAAAAAATTAATATTAATTATAAAATAAAAATATAAATATAAAAAATAATATATCGTATAAATAATAAAATAAATTAAAAAAAATAGATAAACAAAAATACAATTTAAAAGTAATTTATAATTAATTTCTAAATTAAAAAAGAAAAATTCATCCTCTGCTGCGAGAGGGTGAGGCTAAATCTCTTTGGCACAATAGGACTTTTTTCTTATTTTTTTTAATTTAAAAATTAATTAAAAATTATTTTATAATTTTTTTTTATTTTTCTATTTTATTTTTGACGATTTTTATTTTATTATTTATAAATTAAATTATTTTTTTTATATTTATATTTTAATTTTATAATTAATATTATTTTTCATATTGTATTTATATATTTAATCAAATAATATTATATATTTATTTGTAATATTATTATAGGATTAACCAATAAAAATATTAATTATTTCTACCGTTAACTATTATTTTATATGTTTGTATTATATTATATATAATAGGTTAATATAGATATATATATGT